AAAAAAAACAAAAAACAAACAACCCAGCCTGTTAAAATAGATTGTATTTTGTGTTACAGGCCAGTTACAAATGCCAGTTCATCTGTGAGGCCGCCTTCTTGGCATGACCAGCAAGCAAACATTAAAAGGAAGGCATACTGGATAGTTCCTAATTCCAAACCTACAGCTCATTCACAGGTTTTTTTTTTCTTAAACAACATACTAAATTGTGAAAAAGGCACAAAGCAGATCACAAAAAATTATCTAAAGCTTAAGAACACATTTTAAAGTACAGCAAAAGTGATGTTCATTTTTCACCTCGGTGAGCACAGTAGAGTATGCAGAAAGCTGAAAGGAGCTACCCAAACCTACAGAACCAAGGATGAAATAACCACACTATTACTGACACATTAAAAGACCATTTTAGGCATGACTTGGAAAAGGAAGACCCAGTCTTCAGCTCTTACTGAAAGACTTCTTGGAGCTTTTCTTTTACCCTCTGAAAGTTAGCTCCTATCCTAGTCCCAACTTCTTTGTGGATGCCCCATCCCTGGAAGTATTCAAGGCCAGGTTGGATGGAACTCTAGCAAGCTGGTCTAGTAAAACATGTCCCTGGCCACGGCACAAGGATTGGAACTCAGTGATCTTTATGGCCCCTTCCAAACCTGGCCATTCTATAATTCTATGATTTGCTCCAACTAACTTAAATAAACAACAGTGCTCCAGAAACTAGGCAGTATTTAAATACTAATTTTGAAAGATATTGAAGTTCAAAACATGCTTTAAAGAAACCACTAAATAAAATTAAATATCTGAGGAAAGAGGGAAGAGCATGAATCTGTCCAGGTGAGGAGTGCAACTACCAGACCTTCCGAAAACAGCAAGAACACAAGGCTCAGAGAAACACTGGCCCCTAGCGTTGCCGTTTTAGTATTTCATTCACTGTAGGACTAGTGTTCCAAATAAGTTGTCTGATAGTTTCCCCTTCTAAAATCAAGAGCTCTGCAATTTGCACGGAGTGTAGGTTTTCCTTTTTTCAGCCCCTGCCCCTACAGGTTTTGGTGAACCCTACATTGTGCCTACAACAGCCTTCAAAAACCCTGAATTTGACTACTCCATGAAAAGGAACATCTCTTCATACCCTAGTACATGGGAACTTGGTGCAACACAACGATTTACATATATTATCTTTATCAAGTTACAACAACCTTACATAAAAAAGACTATTAAAAAGGATGAAAAAAGAGGTTAAGTGGAAATTATTTTTTATTCATAAAATTCATCTCAGATTTACAGATGAAAACTGTGCACTGAACAGGTTACCATCTAAGAACACCTTTTGAGTTTCTCATCTATGAAATTAATATTTTCATTGTATAAAGCCCAAATTCCACTGGAAAATACACATGTAAGGCAATCTGCCTCTGATCAAAGAAGTATGTTTTACCTTTTCAATGATCTCATAGCACTCCTCCAGCTTCTGAGTTCTGTCTTTCAGAACCATACTGGATTCATTATAGACATTCAACCACTCTCTGTAAGATTTCTCTGACAGATCAGCATAAGCAATGCACAACGTCCTCAGACCTGCAAAACAGAAGACAGCCATTACCCACAGTAAAAATACATTGAGTACTATCAAATCATTCATACATAATGAATGCCAAATTCTAACCCTCACACTAGAACAAGAGCTTCTAACACACAACTGTTAAACTCTGGACTCCACAATATCTCTCCATTTTTTCAAGCACTAGGATTTCCACAAACATAAAACACAAATCTGGTTAATTTTGGCCACTAATGTTGGTGCAAATCAATAGAGTATTGGACAAAAACTTTTTACTAAGTATGAAAGTAAGCTTGCCTTTCATGTATTTTAAAAAAGATCATATTAAAGAATGGGCTACATACTCTAATTGGTGATTTTACTTAGTCAAACATCCTGCACAGTCCATGCTTCCTTTTAGCAAGACTGTTCTCCTCCAGTGTACTGATGTAACTCACACAAATAATGGGAGTTAAACACGCACAATATAGTGAATAGAGTCCATGAAGTATGAAAACTAATTGATTAAACCAATGGCAAAGATTAACAGAGAACTAATGATTCCTTTTTCTGTCACAAATCAAGCAAAAAGGAGCGTGTGACATAAAATACAAACATTCCAGTACTGGGAACATGGGAATCTGCAAAGAAAAAAAAATTTAAAAGCTGACCAGTATTTTCAGATTTTGGAAGAAAAACACCAATCTTACTACAACTCAGGTATCCTCTGCTAAGGCAGAAGAGGGAACAAAGCCCAGTGCTCCCCTGTGAACAGAGGTGCTACATCAGTCAAAGGCCTTACAGATTATTTCAGACCACCTCTGATGTCTCAGTCTAGCAGGCTTCTCAGCATGTTCAGGTTGTCACTGCTTTGTAAAGCCAGAGACACTGGCATCCAACTTCTACCCTGGTAAAAACACCTCCAACTCCAAAGTAATTGAGTTATTCTGGGCAATACAATTCATGCCGTTTGCTTTCATCACAGACACACAGAACACCATTTTTTCCTTCCAAATTCCAGTTCCTTCCTGAAATCACGTAGAAGTCAAACAAAAACCCCCTTACAGTCAAAGTCAATCTACAGTTGTTAATTTGCTGATAACACACCTCAACTTATCTTCACAATCTTAATTGACACCACAGAGCTTAGACAATGCAGAAAACGCTGCAAATAATGTCAAACTGAATTCTCACGGCATGCTGTTTCTCTTACCTTCTGTTGCGAAGTATTCAAGATGGCACAGTGTTTGTTCCATATACTGGGAATCTTTTGAAAGCCTCTCAAAAATTACATTATCCTATTAAAACCAAATTCATTACAACAGAGTAAGTCTACATATGAAGTTGCCATTTGTGCATTTACAAGCTCAAGAGAAGCAACCTGAATGGACTTCCTAATAACAAAAACCAAAATGTATTTACAATATATTTGGGTTTTAGAGACTGATTTATCTGGATTGCACTTAGTGGTAGAGATACTGCATTCACTTAAATAATAGGGACAGAAGCACACTCTGCTGTCCTCTCCTCTTTCCACAGAGAGGTCCTCATTACTGGACAGTTACTAAGCCAATATATTGACTTTTGGACAACACAAATTTCTCGTCTTATTCAGTATATACAGCTGTCCCGTGCAGTAGTTTCCTGCAATCCCTTCTAGAAAAGATTCCCATTGATGTTAAAAAACAAAAAGCAGAAACACTGATCATGTTCTACCACAATATTCTCTCAGAAACAACCTTCTTTCTGCAGCAGCTGTCTTTGTCAGTAAATCAAAAGACAATTGAAAGGACCCAGCTAACAGCTGAAATCAAAATATAAGCATCACCTACATATCTAGAGTCACTGGATTTTATTTATAACTACCAGAAAAAGTTCTACAAACACATGTAATACAGAAACCCTACTCAGACATCTGCTCTTAAGTAAACAGACCTACATCTAGTGCTGATTAGAGACAGGCCAACAAACCTAATTATTATGGCAGCAACAGGACTGAGGATGACTACAAGAACATGGAAGAGTTAATGCAGAATAGTCAGTTAACTTACAGTTCACATGAGTGGCAGATGCAGCACATCTAGGTGTGCTCATATGGAAAAGATCAAGAAATTTTGTACAACAAACTGTCCTATTCTCCATCCCTTCCAGTGCCACACACCAAAGAATAGTGTGAATTCAGGCACAGCATGAACAAGCAAGTTGCAAGTCTGTGTGGTCCTATGAGGCGTACAACTGTGATCTAACACACAATGGTGGCAGGCTTAATTCACTTCCACCACAGCAGCATGAAGCTAGCACATCTTTATCAAATCAGGAGAGGTACATGGAAGCAACAGAGTAGTGAATACTGAACTATATGTCATGACAAATTCAAGTAAACCAGATCCTCACAGAGGTTTTTCCCTGTTGCAAAAAATCAGCTCCACAGTTTTCCAGTGAAATTAGAACCACTCTTTGCCTGTAGACAACGCTAGTTTTGGAGCCTTTGTGCTGTGCTAAGTTATTGCTCTTGTCAGTGAAGACAGAAGCACACCATGGTGCAAGTAGTGATGACAAATAACAGCAGGTGCAGAGATGCAAGAAAGCCAGATCAAGAGCCAAGGACTTAAGAACAAATTTCACTGTTATAAATGCTGGAGCATTTACTCCAGCTCCTGAACTCCTGCTGCACAGCTGGGCAAAGCCCTGGCTTTGCAGTAAGGGTACTGCTCCCATTAGTTTCAGGATTTCAACTGGGCAGCAGAAAGCCCAGCAGTCTTCCAGCCTGCAAAAAGAGTCAGAACAGGAATGACAGCTCTCTTAAATCACTTGGCCCTAAACAGAAAGCCAACAGGTATTATGTATGAGACATGAAATGTCAGCATCAGCCACAGCTGTTGAAACAATAACTGGCAATGTTCTCCATTAGGCAGCATAATTACTTACAGCCCCTTTGCAGTAGAGACGTAGCTGTCCTGCTGGAGTTCGAACAATCACTGACATTCTCTTCCTGTTGCTATTGAAAGAAAAATATTTGCTTTCATTAGTCAAAGTGGTAAAGAGTAATTCCTGTTCTAGCCAGTGAATTTTCTCAGATGTGTTTTGTGCATCTGAGATTAAATGGGATATAACAGCAGTAACTTAAGATCCCACAACCCTTGACCACAAGGAGATGTACTAAATTGCATACTTCCAGCTTCAGCCCTCTGTCTCCCATTGGCAAGCACTCCAGACTTATACCCAAATACAAGAAAGAATTTGAAAAAGAACAAGATCATATAAAATTATCTTAAAAGAAAGGGAGTAACATTTATTCGCATTATTCCCTCCATTTTTCCATATTCCTCAAGCGAAATTGCTCTGGGGACTCTAGAAATGGAATCATTAAGGCTGATTGCATCTTTATTATAGGCATAATACACATTGAAACAACAATCCACTGGCAAGGACAGTTATTTAACTTCCTAACTTAAAGCAAAAACACGACAGAAATAAACCATGGTATAGATCAGTTCTTGGCCTCTATCAATTCTTTGTATTGGTCTAATCAGACACACAGTTGGAATTAAGTAGAAGGAAGTCAGACCCCCCTGAGCAAGGACAGGACAGTCAAGTTTGGCTTTTTTTTTTTTAACAAGTAGACCGTAGCATAGTGTACACCAACATTTAACAAAGGCAGGCAGGCAAGAATAATTTTTTTAAAGCAATTCTGACATGGTACATATCAATCTCTTCTTCAAAAGAGCCACTGGAAAAAAACCACAACTTGCAAGAGGAAGAAGCAAAACAATCAACTCTCATCAAGGGAACCCTAAAAACAGGTGGTTTCATATAAATCTTTTCCCTAGCAAAAGGACCAACTTGGAAGCATTCTCCTTCCTCATTATGCTTTTGCCAATGTGTACAAACAGTGTAGAGCAATCTTCCTTCTCCTCTTGAGGCTGATTTGAGAAATGTAGTCACCTTTCAGAGCTCAAGAACTATGTGTACTAAACTAAGCTCATGGTATGTATCATCAGACAAAACAAATCCTTTCTGAGGCTTTCTGAAGAGGGGTTGGAAGGACAGCAGTTACCTGTGCCCAGAATTTCTGCAACAGCCTAATGACACTGGGAAACGTCTGTGTGCTTTTCAAAACCTAACTACAGGAACTCCCTCAGGGGTCAGGTGGGAAGGCGCTACACAGAAGAGAACTAAGACAGCAAGTCAGGGAAATACTCAAGAATAATCTTCAAAGCAAGTCAGGACACCAGAAAAGCTGCCTACCCAAATCATCCCTACCTTTAGTTTTACATAGTCCTTTAGAGCACAACCAGCCAACTCAAAGACAGCAGAGAACAAGAGTTCAAGGTTTTAATCCCCAGCAAGAGTAGAAAATAAACAACAGAAAAAACCAGAACGCTGACTAGCACAATCCAAACTGACCTAAATTCATCAACTGCCAAAGAGAAAGCATCTTGTTATTTCCAGTCATTTAGGGGCTTGATTCATCAAAGCTTCTTGCTGCCCAAGCAATGCCCATCCTAATCAGCCTGACAAATTAGGAGTGCTTGTAACATCTCTATTTTCATAGCTGGCCTGGTTCTTAAAAAGAGGCACTTGCAGGTGTAGTTTCCATCTACTCAAAAAGTAATTTGCAGAAGCACTATTAAAGGGCAATCTCAGATTATGTTCTTGAGGTAGACAAGTGACAAATCAGGATATCCATGAGTCACAGCAAGACACTTCCAGACCAGCAACTTCTCAATAAATGAACAGAGCTGCAGTGACAGGAGGAAGTTTCATGATCACATGCCAAAAAGCCATCAGTTTATAACTCATTCATAGTACATGAGAAATAAGATGAAGGGACAGAAAAAAATTAAGGAAGTTCTGCTTTTCTACTGAATCAGCTGTACCTTTTTATTCTAAACATTTATTTGGAAGAAGAGTTTCTTGAATTTCATATATTACAGGAAAACTTACCTGGAAAACTCCAGTACATTAAGAATTTCAAAAGTTTTCTCTTTCCCCAGCTACAAAAGAAAAACAAAAGAGTGTACTATTATAAGTTCAATTTATATTATATTCTTACATGTGCAAACACACGAGCTGATAAGGTGTCTTTGTCACACATCCCAGTATAAATAAATGTGGCAATGGCTCCCTCCGCTGGTTAAAGGATGCAGAGCCCTGTTTAATGAACTTAATTCAACATCCTGTATTGTGCTATCCTTCATTTACTACTGCTACAGCATTACAAGGAGTTAATATCCTTTTTGATTAGGCATGCTCTGAAAGCTAAGCTGCATATTTAGTTCTCAACAGCCATCAACTAAGACATATTACAGGCTGAAGGCATTTTTGCAAGTTAAATAAGCATGCCCTCCAAGTTTAGTATTACAATAATATGTAGGTCAATCACTTTGACTGACTTCCCTTAGTAATTGTTTTATTTGAATTCACAAAAATATTACCTATATTTTTCTAAAAAAAAAGATTAACTGAGGAGAAATTCCTGTTATCACCAGCAACTCTCTGCTGGGGCTGAGCAGGAACAACCTGAAGCAGGAGAAAGACTTTACTGTTGTATAATGCACTGAAGGAGCAGTAGGAGTTACCAGAGCCATAGAACTCCAGTGGTATTTGTAGCATGCAGTTAAAGTGCTGCAGTAAAACCTAACTGCAGTATAGGCATGTCCAAGGCACATATTAACTCAGCAACATGCCCAAGATTAAAAAGCACTTCCAAACCATTTTCTACATGCTGCCACTGATGTAGGCAATCAGGAGAGACAGGAATCTCTGAGAGTGACAGCTTTTATTGCTGGTTATAGATTAACAATGCCCCCAGCTTTGTATTATGAGTATCCAACCAGGCCAGATAGGCCTGGCTGTTTCTGCAGAGGAGAGAAGCATTTAGATGGCTCTAGATAACACTGTTAATCCTAAACTCTTCCCCTTCAACTAAAAAGCAGTTTGAGAATTGGTAAAAAGTTTGTGACAACTCCTAGAAGATATGATTCAAGTGCTTGGCAATGTACCAAGAAATTTGAAAGGGAACATACCTGAGAGGAAGGACAAAAACACATTCATTATTCTTAATAAGCACCCTACTAGCTGCATCTGTGTAAATCTGGAGCCACTTTAGCTTGGACTGCAACTTGAGTCTGAATGTGGCCCCATGAGTGTGAGGCTGCCAGTGTCAACTGTAATCCATTAACTATGCACCCCTGCATACACAGCTTGTCAAGCAGATACATCTTCTACTGAAGCTCTTCGAAGAAAGAAATCAAACGTTTAGAAGAACAGCAACCATTAAACATAACAGTCAGAAAACCTCTCAGATACATGAATTTCATTCTAATGTGAGTGTTCCCATCTGTGCTCCCCGGACAAGGGAAATATTTTTCAGGCAGAACTGCTGTCATTTCCCATGTAAGTTTGCAACTTCCTATCGCCCATGCCACATAGAGGGGCAAAGGACTTGGCATCTTCAAACAGATTAAAGCAACTTTTCTCAAGAGTACATAAGCCCTTAGCATGTAGAATCCTAAAGGCCCTGGAAAAAGGCCATCAAAGGGACCAGAGAAGACACCTTTATGCTCTGCATGAGTTTGGCAACCTGTGCCATGTACATTCACCACTTACCGCATCAATGATAACAGAATGGGGAGTCCGTCCTGTGAAGACATAACCAAGTTTTTTTGCTCCTTTCACTAATGCTCCTTCATCTGCCAAAACAAACAAAGAAACAAAACTGCTTCAATTTAATCTGGTGTGTTAAAGAGGCCTCCAAAATCCATACTTAAATACACCAGATTGCCAAAACAGAATCCCCTTTCTCATGCACTCCCATCCATAGTGATGTTAAGAGTAGTTCTGCACACCCTTCTGCAAAACCATTCAACAAAGGCCATGCAATATCAGCTACAGAAACGTGGTACTCAATCTATATAAAATATCCTGTAACTACTGAAGCATTGAACTCTATTCTTGTAAAGGTGCTAAACTTTTATACATGAAAAAGGGGAAATACCTGTTCTGAAAGCAAGATCAAAGCTCTGTTACTTTAAATTCCTACAACATGCATTTAATCCATTTTCTGCTGTGAAGGCACTACATAAATACAGAACTGCTTTCTGGAGACTACACTGGGCAGTGTTATTAAGAGCTCAACTAACAGAGCTGCAATCAGAGCCAACACCTGGCTTCTATAGATAATTACAGAGCCTCCTTAGGAAGCAAGTGCCATGGAGCATAACTGCCATACAGGTGGATTCAGCACCTAATTCAAGCAACCCTCACACCTCTACAGCTCCCTTAGTCTCCTCACAGTTCATCACATCGACCAGAACTTCCTCACATTAACTCTTCATCCTACTTTTCAGACACCCTATTAAGACACAAATAAGAAATTATAACGTTTCATCATGCAATACACGACTACAGCAATTCTACAAAGATCTTCACTAACAGAGATGGTGCTCTCCATTGAGTTTATTCCCTAATCTGGCCCCACCTAGCTCTGTCTGTGCTAACTGAAAGGAGTAAAAAATGGGTGAAGGGCAGGCCTGAATATCACCAAGATTCTGAAAGTTTTGGTTGCATTGTGTCATCATCAGCACTTGATAGCGCACCATCTTGCTCTAAGCATACTAGATCAAGAAAGACAGTTTGTAGTCATGCCAAGAAAGTAACTGCTTATGCAGAAACAAATCATTACTTCCTACACACTCAATGTCTTACTTTCATCCCTGCAGAAAGAGTAGACAGTCTCATGAGAGCAGAAGGGATCCTAAGTCCAGCCTAGCTCTAAAGAAACATCATGGACTATGTGGTTTTGTAGGAAGCATTCAGAAACAGTGTGTACTGATTACAGAAGATGCCAGATCTACTGCTAGCATCGTGGGGGACATTTTGCTTTCAAAATCAATGACTTTTGAAATGGCCTAGAAGTTTATGGACATGCCTTCCATCTACCTCTACTCCTTCAATTCATTCCCCTTCCCTCCTGAAAAAGAAAACACCAACCAACCTGGAGAGGAGGCCTGGTAGATTATTGTATTTCCTTGTCTCTCAGGAACAACAGTATGACACACGGCCAGCAGCGTGAGGAATTCCTGTATATGCACAGCTGTGGGCTAGACAGGACACCAGGAGAGTGAGGTTGAGCATTGCACACAGACTGAGGAACCTGTTCATTAAACTGAGATGATCTCTTAGGTACCACAGAGGAAAAAAAAAAAACAACAAACCCAAAACATATTATGTTTTCTATTTATAGAATTTTGACCTCAGAACACCAAGACAGTTTAGGGCCAGCATTGATGAACTTGAAATGAGGTCTTTATCATTAGCTTTGAGTTGCAGAGAGCTGAGAAGCCAGAGTATGCTCCCATCCCCCACCCTAAAAGTATTACTTCTTTAGCATCTCAAGCTTCACATAGGCAAAGACATCTACCACAAGATTATGACAATCTAGAAACAGGAAATACTACTAATGACAGCTTCCAACAGACTAACAGCAACCATACCAGAATCAAATTTGCTGCGACTGCATCCTTAGTGATGAACATCCAGAGCTGAGAGCAGCTGAACAGCCAGTAGAAGGCAACATCATGTGTCCTTCCAAAGGAATGCAGAACGCAGCCAAGCATAAAATTCATCTATGGTCCTACACATTCAGCATCACGAGAACATGCAACATAAACCACTGTTGCGAAGTGCTTAAACAGACACCAGATCTGCAACTCAAAGATACTCTGGCACTTAAATCACAGGCCTCTGATCAGCCAACTGTGGTAACTGCAACCTTTAACGATTGAAAATTAAGTCACTCATCCCATTCTTCCCTCCTTTCTATCCCTGCCTCTGGCACAAGATTTCTAAGTCTCACCACAGTCAGGAAGAGCACTCAGATGCCCAGCTCACAACCTGGCCCACTAACTTCATCCACAACTCGCGCAGGTCTTTAAGATGCTTGGCTGAAACAGCTGAAGTGAACACATGGCTCACCTTTTCTAACTCTGCTATATCCATAACATCCACAAGTGGTAGCATCAGTGTCTTGCGTCACAACAGCCATTTGCTCAGTGACTCAGACATGAACTTAGCATTTCTACCCTTGCAGAAATCCCTATTTGACTTTGCAAACTCTCAAAGAATTTTTGCATATAAAAATATCATCTAGGTTCCAAAGCTTTCATTAGCACAGCATATGCACCAGCAATATGAAGGTTTAATTAGTAGGAAGTAAACTACTATGAAAGCCACAAAACCATGTCAGCTGGCAAACACTGTGGCAACAATTGTAAACAAAGTAAGCATTGATCAGAAAGTACGGTAATAAAAACATGGAAGATCCAAGCCCTATATTCTTGTTTTACTTCACATGAATATTTTCAAAGTAACTGTTTCACTAAGGACCTTTACCTTTGCATACTGAAACTTCCAAATTGTATGGTCACATGTCACTACAATAACAAGAGTTGTTGTTTTTGACATGCTGGGATACAGAGGCTGTGCCCAGGAAAATGAACTTATATTTACACACTATTATCTAACTAAGTCCACAGCAAATTACAGCCAAGAGGTTACTGCTGTGCCATCATTTCCAGTCCAAGTAATGAAAGTTTTATCTCCATGTCAAAAGGCACAGCCTGCCAGATTCTCCTTTCAGCATCTGTTGCTGCAGACCTTTGATGTCTTAGACTTTTATCACCTAGCCCCTTAACAAGCTTTCATAGTATGTGTTGTATCAGCTGGAAACAACCTGTCTCCAGTAGTGACATGGATTTTAATCCTTCCTAAGTATGTATTTATGTTTTCAAGCCAGCGACATAATTTGCTGCTGTCTTAGTATTTTCACAGCCCACAATATATTACAGGGCAATCTTCCAATTCTGTTGCAGCAGATCACCAGAGGCCCAGCTTATCACAACAGCTCCTCCACACAGCTGTCATTTGTTTCCTTTCTATATTGTTCCAGCACTGACAATATTTGTTGCACAGACATGAATCAGGGTAGAGCATTCAAATTCCTGCTTTGGACCTGTGAGCAGAAAATCTGTTAATGGCCTCTGTGGCAATGTATCCCTTCCAATATGCTGAGCTGAATCCCAGCAGAGGACAGAAGTCCCACAGCTTAACCAATTCTGCTTTATTACTTATTTTCCTCTATCAAGTCTCTGACATCTCAGCAGTCAAATTCTTACTGATGGTCTCTCTGAGATGTTCCTTGTCTGTTCCCATGTTAAAGTCAGCATTATTTCTTCCTGCCTCATTTTTTAGTTCTCTCTCTATCTGTAGTAGGAACAAAGTTTGCATATTTTAATCTCTTTTTCATCAGTCCAGAGGCAGTTCTCATTTTAAGTGTCTTCTTCCTTCACTTTTCTCCCTGTGTGCCAACAACTCTGGGTAAAAGACATGGCTTCTTCTCTTGTTTTTTGTTTTTTCCTCAAAAATCCATGAAAAAACTAGTGTACAAAGATCTATACAAGCAATATATTCCACTGGGTGAACTTTGTTTGCTGCCCTTACCAGCTGCTAACCACACACACACTGCAATGGTCTCCTACTTCTGCAAACAGTTTCTGGATTGTTACCTACCGAGTACTATTCTCAGTGAAAGCAAATTTTAGCTACCTAATAGACACAGCACTATCCATTATCAAGGAGACCACTGATCAGAAAGCAAGTTTTCATCCCTTCCTGGTTCCCGTATCTAGAGGAACAAAACGCTGAGACAAGCCCCAGACTTTTGGGGAGCAACTGCACTGTGCAAAGCTTCACATCTGCATATGTCACACATGTCCTTATCTGGACCCTTCACTTTAAAGACAAATTATTTTTCTCAACTGTTATGATAAAATTATAAGGAATTTGCATGTGAAGTTAGATATCTTTCCTTTAATTGTAGCAGTATCAGATCAGTGCCTCCATTCACAGTATTTCCAGATGAGCAGGATTGACAGTTTTTTGAGCAAATGGCCTAGAAATGGCCAGTGGGATATTAAAGCACAGTCTAACAACCTGAGCTTACTACTTTGCATTTAAGTGGCATATTCTGCCAAGGACAATTGTGAAAATGCTTATGTACTTAATTACCAAGGAGAATTATGACTCACCATCTTCAAAAGATATGAACTTCCTACCATTTAATTCACTAAAGTATCTGGAGAGCAGTGCAAGGATCCAGCCATGTTGAGCATCTCCAGAACAGTGAAGCTGGCAGGACTGGAGGAGACCAAGATACTTCAGGCACAGACTGAGAGAAGACATTAACCAGCTTTCAAATATCAACAGAGTTAAATGCAAGTTTATCTTGTCCAAAACCAATGAGATATGACCTATAATTAAAGATACTGCCTTGTACTTGAAGAAAAGTACAAAAGTCCCACGCACAATAAGAACAAAAGCAGATGAGAGAAAAATATATCTCAGCAAGCTCCAACAATTTAATTGTGAGCTATAAAGTGATGTGTTTGGACAGTTTTCCAGCAATCTGAACTAGAGCCTCCCATAGGCTTTCATCACCTGAACTTGTTTTTTCCCCCTACTGTATTTCAAATCCCAGTTTTTCATCCCAGTTAGCCGTGACATGTATTACTGGTTCTGCTTTCCTATGGAATTAAGAACCAGCTGATGATAGCTGTCATTTCAACAAAGCTTGATGGGATAATAGCCTCAGCTCCCACACACTACACAAGAATAAGCAGATGTGTTGGTGAAGTCTAAACAAACTCTTTCAGTGTGGTAAATGCTCAGTGCCAGCACAACAGTTGTCTGTTCTGCCTGGCCAGCTGCTAAAGTACTCCTCAGACATAGTCACTGAACCCTTCATGCATCTGCAGCTATACCATGTTTGCTGCTTCTTGGCCAAGAGATAATTTGGGGGCCACAGAAGAAAGTTCATATGCAAATTGGAATTCACAGATGAAGTCCAGAGAGAATCCTGGGAGATACAGGAGTCTAGGATGAGAACCAAGTCTATCAGATCCTTCACTTCTTGATCTTCCCTGCTCTCCTACCATCAGTGTAAGACAACCCCACATGAAACAGGTTTGCATCTCTGTGCTGAGTTCATTCACAGGACATATGCAACTAGCAAGCACCAAGATAAAGACCATCTAGCATATTCACCAACATTCCTTCTAGTCTTCGAAAAAAATGGATCTTTCCTTATTAGGCTAAGAGTTTATGCCATTTTCTTTATAGAAATAAGACAGCATCATACACTTGGTACAGCTGCACAGTTCATCCAACAGAAGCCAATACAAAGAAAAAGCACAGGCAGACAAAGCTAGGTGCTTTCTTCCACATTAAAATACCAGAGCAGCCAAGAGAAACTTCCACAGACTTTCAAGACACGTTATTTTACCCTGGAACAATTCCTGCAGGGCAATAATTCTTTAACTGCTGCTCAAAAGTAGACTTGGCTATCAGTTAGCCCTTACACACCAGTGGCTCAGAAGAGCTATGAAATTTAGAGGTGATGCAGGATGCTAAAAATCTTCCTAGCAGATGGAAGACAGTCTCATGAGTACAAGTGCATAATTTTTTATTTTCAACCTTGAAAGAAAATTACTTGGCACTGCGACAGTTCTAAACTAACACTCGTGACTGAACTGGAAAAAAAAAAATTATAATCTTCAAGACCAGAGCAGTGAACACTTAATGAGAGTAAGAGATCACACTTACAGCTTCAGCTGCAAAAGGGCAAGTGTTTAGAGGGAATTAATTGCCTGAGTACAGCACCATCTAACTTCACTAGGTAGCTTATGCTAGAACACTTCAGTTTTTCAGCACAGTTCACCAAATGAGTAGAAATTGACAGACACCTGCACCTATTTATCAGGTTAAAATAATCCAGATTTTTAGAAAGAAGCAGTTTATGCATCTCAGCAGCGGACCTAATGCAAAACATCTAGAAAGACCCTTCCCTCTACCACTATCCTGGAATTCAGCCCTCCTCTCACTCATGGCCTCACAAATACACCCAAACATGCTCAGCAAATTGTCATAAGCAGTCCTTGCATTCCCGTGCCTTGTGCTAAATCACCACTTGTCAGAGGGTGGCATCCATTCCTCTAGTACAGTCAGGCTCTGAAAAGTACCTTTGGCCTACATAAGATACTTCTCATTAGCCACTTATTTCCCCACTGATTGTCTGGGGGCTGAGTTCACACAATATGCTCAGCCCAACAGCTAGCTATACAAGGACATCAGTATTTATCTGTTCAAGTGACCAGCAAAAAAAAAAAAAAAAAAAAAACTGATACAAAAGGGTTCAATGTAGAAAACTTCTGAGCTGTCTAGACTAAATATGACACTTAAGGAAGCTACCAAAATCCCTTATTTACCTACTACAACAATAGATATTCCTTCTATCCCCCAAAGCAGAAACTACCCAGAGAAGATCAAGTCATTGGGTAGCCCCAGAATAAGTAGCCATCTCAAGACTAGGTGAGAAACTCCATCTCACAGTTCATTTGAGATACATCCCTTCTGCTGAGTCTATTAAAATACACCAAAGCATTTTTCTCTATGCATACCTAAAGCTGCAGCAGCCAAAAGGAGCTCAACGACATTTCTTCTGCAATCTACACCTAAACCAGAATGAATACCTGGAGTCAGCAACTGCCATAAGCCATAACTGTAGCCATAAATGAACAAACAGGATACAAAGGAACAAGACAATTCACAAATCTTGACTGAAAGCCATGTCCAACGGGAAATTCTTCCAGTGTACATGATTACAAAAGCCACATAGGAAATCAGGGCACTGTCCTGAGAGGGTGACCTTGCTAGAGATTAGAGCACAGGAGCCACCCTTAGGCTCCATCACCCTGCAGAACACACAGTGCCGCACCAAGTAATTATTCCCTTACAGCATTCACACCAGGCTGCAGTTCTTAAGTACTACAGAGCAGAACAGAAAGCAAAGCTTTCCTGCACATAAACTGTATACTGCAACTATATTTTAGATGCTCATATTAAACTTAACCTGCCCAGTCACAGAAGCTACACTGTCTAAGGAGAGCAATCAGCGGATGGAGTTTGCACTTGCCAATGCTCAGACCCCATACTGTGAGACAGCCTGCAGAGAACAAGGGTCATGCTTTTTGGCAAGTGAATTAATTGTCTGGTGTCCAGTCAGACACTTCATAACCACATGATTTCCAAATAAACAACTAAATGACACTGTAAAGACTAGGTCCCTTGAGGACTCAACGTCCCTTGAGGACTCAACAGCTAGGCTAAGACTACTAATCATTAAGGCTCATGACAAGCTTGAATTTGCAATTAATTCCCATCTCTTACATCCTTTACATAACTAGAATTCCAAACACTTGCAATACTTACAAGGCTCATTCCAGAACCATCTTGTAGTGCTAGAGATTACAGTTAAAAATGGTATAGATGTTTCAGCACTCCAAGTAGCTTTTCTTTTAAAGAATTTTAATCATCACTTGTTACAAAACATTATCTTCCATATACAACAGAATATATGAAGCTGCCTTATAGGCAGCCAGAATCCATATCAATATGGATATCTTAGAATCCATATCAGCTTCTTTAATTCAATTGTAAGACAAGTGGGCAGAAAGGCGTTGGAGGGAGCTATTTTGATTCCAATTTACCCACTCTGTGCCTGCGTGACACACTCACAGAGCAGACTTAATCACACAAATAGATTTGTTCAGCATTCAATTCCAGACAAGCCTAGAATAGGGCATTTAAGAGGCGTGATATTCAAAGAGCAGACTTACATGATCATTTTCAATGTTTTGCAGCAGTCTTGGGTCATCAAATTCACACGATTCACTGGTGGAAGGAGGTAGCTGGCTGCAGAGCAAAACAAGCATATTCAAACAAGTGGCAACATTGGCAATCTTAGTACTTCATCTATTTTCTTGAGAAGCAAATTTAAAAAGCAAAGAGACTCCAATGTCCTTGAAAGCATTGTGAAAAGATCATATGAGTAATGCAGCAAGTGCTGAAAATGAACACCAGCAAGAAACCCGAAACAGTTATGCTTGAGAGTGTATTTCAGAAGATTCAAGTGTCAATGCAACCCCGGGGACAGATGTAGCAACAGCAGCTTTTAAGCATATTTAATACAAATAGATTTCAAGGTGGCTTTCTCATAAAATAGATCGAAGTTCAATATCCCTAAGTTCCTTCCCTAGTCAGAGCATTCTACTTCAAGCTGACCCCTGGAGGATTTTAAGTCTAAGTACTCCAAGTAAGCACCTAGAAAACACGGCAATGAAAGAAACAGCAATATATTAGAAGAAAAGAGGGATCCATACAAATTACATCTCAGCAGGAGAAATATAGCATTTTTTCACCTTCCTAACAATAAAAATGAGCTGGGACAGTGGAGAAGCCCAGCTTAGCTCATTACCAAGTGCTTTTCTAATAGCATGAATTGTTTACCTGTTTCTTGGGCGGGGATTCACTTCCTCCCTATATTTGTCATTCGAATCCATGTCAGCCCTCCCTAGCTCTTCCCCTCCTTCCCAGTACTCTCAACATGCTTCACTGACACCTGTGTAACACCTCTGAGTCTTCACTCATGTCTGTGGAATGGGACAGACTCATCACCTATATTCAGTTAAAGTTCCCAATAAAAAGGAGCAGGATTCTCTGGACATGATAGGCCTACATATCAAGCTCTCTCCCAGTTTAATTACTAAAACACAGCATTTTAATAAAGAAGTCCCTTTTCTTCTCATTGTCAGGCCTGAACTTAGTGATTGCAAAGAGCAACATTCCATCTCTAGGTAGGGGTAAGGTTCCTGTAAAGTAGGTTATTTTTAGCTTTTAACTTGACTGTCTGCAATTATAAATAAGCACTGCATTAGCATCCCAGCCACTGCCTATTCTCACCTCTTCACATATGAAATCTCTATGCAGAAGAGTAGATCCATCACCACCCACTGCCTCTGCATTAGGCTCCCACTGGAAGACCATTTTACTCAAACATATTCCTCCCTTGGGCTTCTTCCAGTCCCAAATTGGAAAGCAGTCTTTATATAGATTGTACCCACTCTGCTACACAGAACACAAACATCTTGGAATGTATTTACCTGAAGTCTTCTGATGAACGTTCTCTTTCCAACTCAGGAAAGTGACTGAGGAGTAGAAAAAGGAAAAAAAGAACATTTATTCCACTTTAGCAACCAAAAAAAATAGGTAGAAGGCGAAGATCAATGAGTCATCCCACAAAAACATATGCTGGAACCATGGGTTCAGCTGTTCATACATTTGAATCAAATTTTCTGCCTTTTGAGATATCTAATTTAGCTAACATGAAATTCAAAGGTTAACTTGCATCGAGATGTTAAGACTATCCATTTAACATGAAGCAAATACAAAGATTTAGATGACTCAAAGGCATCCTTTCAAGAGGACAGAATAAAACCAGTAAGCAGATATTCCTCTTGTGCAAGGAATATCAAGCTCTGTAACTACAATTAGACTGTTCTGACAAAATTATGTTTCTCCTCAAGTCACAGAAATATGACTGATAATTGGCTGCAAATTCTTCCCTCTTAGGCAAGAGCCTATTTAGTACTTCTGGTTTTGTTTAAATCATAATCTGCTAAGTTAGGAAGCAAGTTTCTTTGCTTCATGTGAAGTACTCCCAAGGTTTGACTTCCATAATTTGTGCTGCAGGGCAAGAAAATGAAAGCTATTAATTAAGACCACAAAATATGCTAGACTATAAATTGAAGAACAGAATGTTCTAATCGTTTTCCAATATTACCAGTAGTAAGCACACATTAAGCTACAGAGTTTTTCAAAAAGTCATACCTACCCATATGTCACTCCAGCAATACTGCATTTCTTAAAGTTCATGATATTGCATGTTAGAGTACCTGTTTTGTCAGAAAACAGGTATTTTACCTGGAAGGGAAAAAACAAATCTGATTTTCAACTTGCATAGTACCAAAACTTGAAGTAGAAAACAGCAAGATTCTCAGAGACAGATTGCTCAAATGTCACAATATTGGCCAATGCAGGCTTATTAGAGCCTGATTTGTCTACCAAATCTACAGAAAAATCATCAGGCAAATTATTTAATTGCATTAATTCTTTATCTCTAAACGTGGAAGGGCTCAAATAGTAGCAAGGCACTAGGGAGGTCACCACAGATGTACTTAGTTGGACGTTCACCAAATCTTTCAACTAAACTAATCTCAGAGAGGGACTAGAAACGAAAACAAAGACTCTTAGGATTGTTGAAGGCTCCTGGAATTTTACACCACTGAAGACATTCTGCGTTTCAAAGATCACCAGGAATGTCTGGAGACTTTTTTGCCCTGCCTATAAGCACAGAATATGCAAGACTAAGTCTAACTTGTATTCTGCAGGTGAACAAAAGCTGCTTTTTCTGATGTCTAGTCATGAGCATTCCTGAAGTACACAACATACAGCCACAGCACTGCCCAAAGTAATAATCCTTTAATGGAAACAGTGATTTTAAGGCAGAACTTGAAGGCAACCCCATCAAAGCAGCATGACCTCTTAGAGCATTAGCAGATCCAAAATTCCCACCTTCAAAGGGCCACAACAGATCAAAACTAATTGCAAGTTAATGATATCACAGTTGTACCTCTGCACCAGGTAAGGCTTTGCACCAGCCACAAGTAGGAAGGCATGGTGATACCATGAAAGAGTTAGACAACTCAAAGACCAAAATAATTTGACTAGAGTTAGTAGAAGCTTTTCCTCAACAATTGCCATTCAGTTCAAGACAGTGCACTACACTACTTGTAAGGTGATCCTTTAGCTGTGCACTGTACTGCTCCTGAACACAGCATTGGAAACAGAGCCTTTACAAGCCATAAGTCAAAGTGGGTACCCAGACTTCTGAAGAATTCTAAGTCATTAATAATTTCACCATAAAACAAAACTATTAAGGACACCTGTGAACACATAATTCAATTAAAGAATCAAAAAATTGAGTCTAGTTACACAGAATCACTAGTAATCCATTCCTGAAAATAACATATGGACCACCAACATATTATGCCACACATCCTTTACTTCAGGCAAAAATAGCACCATAATTTAGAGGCTGATAACTTCACAAAGTGATTTAAACAAAAATCAAATTTCAACATTCATAAGAAAAATGCCTATCAGATTAAGAAGGAAGAATATTGACTACCCGCCTACTGAGCAGGATATTATTATGTATTTTAGGTACGTAAATGTTGCCTCCAACACTATGAAGTTTATGTAGTTCAGTTACAGACCTATAACCTTGATGGTCAAGGAAAAAAACTACTATTTCTCAACAGTACTACAAAATTTCAATAGCAAAGTCATATTTTCCAGTAAGCCTTTTTTGGGAAGCCCTTCCAGATTGAAGAAATGTTATTTGCAGAATAAACAAACATACAACAACTAGAAGTTAATATACAGCTATCTTTATCTGAAAGGAAAATAGAAATGCTTGAAGGAACACAATATTTAAATTAAAGAATACAACTGCATTTCTTTTACTTGCATCTCCTGTGAAGTAGTCAAATATCAAAAACTAGTAACAGCCTAGGCTGTTGGCCTGCTCTTCAGCCATGTTTAGCCCTATATATTCTGTTCTGGTATAGAGAGCCAAAACCACAGAGCATCTCTCCAACACCTTTGAGAATACAGTTCAGGGTCAAAATAAGAAATAGTTTCAATTCCCAAACATAAAACTGCCTATATGACATGACATTTAATCCTGTGATACCTTGTTATTTCACCTGTAAGACTCAGACTAGAGAAAATAAAAATGTCCCATTAACCCAAACCACAGAGCAACAAAATAAAGCTGATTTGTACATCTTTTACATCTTGCTCTCATACCTTCAGTCTTGAGAGAATGTATCATAACACTTAAGAAAATGTTGTCTTACCTGCCCAAGTTCCTCATTAAGGTTTGAGGTTCTGGCCATTGCAGGTGTATCTGTTTCAGGGTAATACATATCTATGTCCTGAAAAGAGAGCAAAATTAAGACTTATGTTATGCAAATTAAACACTAAAGTCTCTGTTCTTTTAGTCAGCTCCATTTTGGCTTGACTGTCTTAATGCTACAAGCTGGCATTCTGAATGCTTGAGACAAACATCATCCCTGGATGAATATGAGTGCCTCCTTTCCTAAGTATACCTCCATCCTACATGGACATGAGAAAAGACAGATTCAAACTATAGGTAGTTAATAAACTAAAGATGCAACGGAAAAAAACCTCACTTAGTAAGTAGAAAGAAGCTCATGCATTAGCCATGCTAATCATAGGTGTTCAGTTGCAACAAGCAGTTGCTCCAGCCACATCTATGAGAGGCTATTTTAGTGGCTCCATGAAACAAGCTACTTCTGTTACTACAACAAAACAGCTGCTACACAAACCAAAGCAACTTCTCTGATATGCATCTCTATTACATGACAAGCAGCTCAAGGAACAGACATATTAAACTTCACTTACATGTGTTTTATAGGAGCCTACTACATTACTCAAAGTCCAAGGATTAATGCATACCAACACAAGGTATTCCTCTTGGTATTGTCCAGCTATAAAGCCATCACTACAGTAGTTTTGGCCTAACTTGAGAAAGACATTTTGAAGTCAAAACTTTCCTGAACAGAGGGATCACTGTTTGGTTGCATGAGGAGGCATCAACTTATCTCCTTACAAAAACATTATGGTCTATTCCAGAGGTGACCTTAAGGCCAGTCTCAGGATGTATAAACTAACAAACAAGAAACCAAAAACAAACCCCACACCTTCTAACAAGTCTAGTCTTTCCCTCTGCTGTGAATGAGATAAACTCTAAGATACCAGGGAGTTTTCAAAAGATAATTACTGAAGATGAGTCAGCAGAGAGACCTCCTTCAACCAAGAGCTGAGAGTTCCCTCTCATCCTAAAAGCCTAAAATACAAGTCATCATTTGCACAGGGGACTTTCCTGTGGCTAGATCTTTTAATTTCCTGTGAAACACAGAACTGATATAGAAGAAATCCTAGGTTTTCCCCTGCCTTTCCCAAAAGTTGCATCAGAAAGGTAATTAGAAAATTTAAGATGTTAAGTAGACTTGTATTTTAAATGTCAACATCCAAAACTGAGATACATTCATTCTTGCTACTTACCCAGTTTATAAAAAGAGCCTGAGTAAACTTGACAACTTCCAATGTCACCAGAAGGCTGATTGGAATAAGGTTGTTGTACAAGATTATAAACGTCAGCAGATTGTATCCAAAGTTGACAGACAGCATCTCTGTGGATCAAAATACACGGGACTTTAGCAGACAAGTCTGAGTGGTATAGGGGCAATCATCTTTATGCAGTTCACCTAATCAGATTTAGCAATGCTAAAATAGTCAGCTTGTGTGCTGATGTCTAGTTTAAGGGCCATTTTAGTATTGATTTCAATAGAAGATAGATAAAACACCCACAGAACACGTGTATTTTACACAGGTGAAGAAGGGCAAGGTTGGTGAGGCTATATATAAAAGAACAGAGCACTTTCTGAACAATTCTTGCTAGACAGATGGTGAGAAGTACAATATTCCCCACTATAACCCAATTTAGACATTCATCTAGTGTGTCAACTGCCCAATTAAGAGCCCCCAATGCCACTAGTAATATAACCATCTTTCAGAAAGTGCCTACTTGCCTCAGTGGAGTTAGTAAACAAAAGATAACACTGAAATTAGTTCTAAAACATGACATCATTGTCAGAATTGAGAATTTACCCTTACTGAAGAAATCAACAAGAATAAGTTGCCTAGTATATGAACAAGGGCACCCTGCTTAAGCAAAGAAGCTGTTATTAATGGTGACAATACTGGGAAACTTGCCCAAATAAGTCTACCATCACAACTGGTCCTTAAGGGAAGGGGAAGCATTTATAGACAGCCAGCAGCAATGTACAAGGCTCAGCCGAGACAGGATGAAGGCTCCTGTTCATGGTGCTGCCCACACCTTCTCTTTACAATCCAAGTCTCCACATCTGTATGCTCTCCACTTCCCTAGAAACTTCGAGAGGCACTTGAGTCAGCACACAGAACACCCAGCACAATGGGGTCAGAGTCCACAACTAAGGGTTTTCAGCATAACAAGTTAATTAGAAGACAGGGGAGCAATCTAGGAGGAGATAGAATCCAGAGAAAATTGCTGAAGCCTAATAAAGATCAGAGTTTGGACAAAAGCACCTCAAAATATGAGTACACTCTAATTCCGCATCTTGGATAAGTTTACAGAATGCAGAAGCAGGCTTGGTATTGGAACATTTTCCAATACAATTTTTACAGAGATGAGGCACTTAAGTAAAATTTAAAATCTACCTGCCTAACCTGAAAAAGTGTCATTCCTGGGTGTGGCAGTTACAGAAGGTATAGAAATTGTACATTCAAATCACAAAAAGGCATCCATAGAGACTATGATGTCATCTTAGTCTATTGCAAGTTGCACCTGTTTTATACTGCAAGTTCAATAGTTCATTCCATTCATCTTTTCCATTACTTCCATCATTGGAAGGCACAAATTTAAACTTACTTAAAAATCAAGGGGGAGAGCAGGCAAGAAACTCTCAAAATTGTTGATACTGCTACAAGAAGACATTAAAACTACCAAAACCAGAGTCAAATATGGGGCATTTCCATGCTCTTCTTATGTGATGTTATTTCTTTACTACCACAACTACAGCTCTTAAACTGCAGAAGATATGTTTGCCATCTGTTTTGCATCATCAGCAGACAAGCCATTTGCAGTTTGTGATAACTGGTTTAAGATCTGCATCTCAAAATGCTTTTAACGCCACATTTTATAGCTACTGTAACCTCCTCAAAAGTCTGCTGGGGAGTATTTCATTGTTCATGTCCATCTTTGGTAATGAACTAACAAATTTGAGGACTAGGAATGAAATCAAAACCCTTCAAATAACCATGCTAAGAATCAGTTTTCTCACAACAAAGTAACGGAAGTGAAAGACAGAAACTTTACCCAATCAATAAGAACTGTGACATTTAGCATTTCAATTTTCTCTAAAAGAACAGATCAGCATTTCTGACTGAAAAAAGTCAAGAGAAATCGTTTGCATCTGTATATAAGCATAAAGCTGAAGTCAGCATCAGTATCAGATTGATACTCCCCATTCTGCAGTCAAATACAGCCAGACACACACAAGGCTGCAGTACAGGACCTTCCCTGAGAAAAAATTCATGTATGGTATCTCCACAGAGATGAAAGAAGTGAACACCAGATATCCAAAAAACTCTTGCCCCTCTTCTGTTTCTGCCCTGCTCCTTGGGTGCTAACCCAGTGACATTTACCTAACCTTTAGAGGCCTCACTGGGAAGTTTACTTGTATCAGCCTATTCGCAAAAACAAGAAAATCAGGTCATCGAAAATTAGCAAGATGTGGGGGGGTTTGGGGCTTTTATTTCTTATTTTATGCATTCATTCAGTGACAGTAAGAGCCTGGCTGGCCCTACAGTCTGATACATCATTGGCTCAGTGCCTGCATACTCACCATTGGAGCCAAGATACCAGACAACTTCACCGTGTGTTCTGTTCCATAATAAGGCACCTACAGAACTCACAAGGGCCATTACCAGGAGAATACAGAACAAAACCAGGATCTGCATGTTGGTCACTTTCTCCACATTTGATCTCTTCAGAGGTGCTTTCGTTGAATTCTAAACAGCAGAAGAGAAAAAGAGAAAGAACATGGCAACGGCTTCTACAAGAGAAAAATGCAGTACCAAACCCAGTCTTTACTTTCAAAGACCATTAGAGCATCTGCTATCCATCCCATTCATGGTCAGCAGCAGTGATCAACATATACATGTTGATGGTCTCTCCAGGCACTCCCTGACATTAAGGCAATACAGGACTGTTGTCTTAATCTAAGTATCCCCATGATTATTACTATGTCCTCAGCTATTAAGCCTGTTTTAAATGTCATCTAGCTACCAGATAAATTAAGATGAAAGTTAGCTCTCCTTATATATTGAACTGCTTTCACTTCAGTGTGTGTTTGGACACATGCACATGCAAACTAGAGTACAATGTACCCTTGTATTCCTCAAGGCCTCCAGGCCTTAAACAACTCTGAGTCAGATCATTTCATAAAATCAACTCAATGACAATGAGAATACAGGAAAGACTGGACCAATTTCTATCAAAACATACTCTTAATCCCCTTAAAACCTTTACCTGCATGAGTTTTGTATCATGTCCTGTATACACAACAATACCCAAGACCCACTGAGTGTTTCTCAGTTGTGCACCTCTCAGCAAGATCTGGTCTGGACCAACAGGAACTGGGCTGCAAAGGAAGAAGTTAATGGATCTTTCAGTTCTTGGTAACACTTTAAAGAAGAGAGTTCTTCTCTCAGCCTTACTCTACAGTTAATAACAAAAGCAAACACAAACAACAAGAGAAGAATGTAATAGCAATATAATGATCTTAGATTGTCCACACAACTGAAGAAAGCACTGAAACTTCTGTAAGTCTAGTTCCTGCTAAAGCACAGTAGGGCAAAGCTGCTCCAGTTAACCAAAACTTGAGAACTTATATGGCAGCCATAAATAAGTATATTCTGCACTTGACCTTGGCTAGTATATTCTCTCTCACATCAAGGACAGAGACGCATTGAACTTGTAAAGAGATCATCCATTTCAAGCACACTACATCACACAGACCATAAAACAAGCATTTGAGAAAGCCTGTATTAACCACATGACTTCCAAGTGGGATGCAAGTGATCATCTGCTATACTTGCACCGAGCTGCCCAAGGAATGTACATTTGGTGAAGGAAAACAGGTACAGCCAAATAAAACATATATGTTCCTACTAACCTTTCACAATCTGTAAATTTGAGTACTAAAATTATATACTTTTCTTTCAAGAGTTGTAGAAATCAAAGTCACACTGACAAAGCCTCCAGGTTCTGAGATCACTCTTCTTTACAAACCTGACCTTGGTGCAGCCTTTGGCTCTTGTTCAAAGGAAAAGGTTTCCATTTCCTCTGTGTATCTTGGGTAACAAGAAGGCCCTAAAAACCCCAACCATTGCCTTGAGTCCTTCTCTTTAGATGTACCTTATAATAAAATATCACCATTAATTACTAAGAAATCAATACTCCCATAACAAGCAGAAGGCTCCATACAAAGACAGAATTGTGTTACCTTATACTGGCAGATGCTCTGATTAATAAATATTAATTATTACCCTCCTCTTCCCTAGCAAAAGCATGCATGTGCTCAGACTTACAGACTAAAAGAGCACAGAAAATATTTTTTCCTAACCAAATGCATTCATGGCTTTGTTGTCAATACCTTTGACCATCTAAGCGCAAGTTTCCAGTGAAGTCATAGAGGTGGCGGTTGGGTCCTTCACACTCTATCCTCCCAGACACTTTCATCAGTTCTTCCCTGGACTGGAGACTTGCAGTTTGAGACAAACCCTGCACAGAACAATTCAAAGGAGATTCTTGACAAAAACTTATGAGAAGGCAATCTAGGAAAATGGTGCTTCTTTTTAACATCTGTGAATCAAAGTGCAACTAAATCTGTGGAGGTTTGTCAGTCAGGTCCTGTTTTGCTTTGGTGGGTTTTTTTTGTGATTGCTTTTTGTTATGTTTAGGAGTTTTCTTTCTTTATTTGATATTCAATACCTCTTTCCTGCAAGGAAGACTAATTATGGACACAAATGAGCCTACTAACAAGACTGAAACTCTCTACACAGATATTTACATTACTTACATGATCTCTCTTTAACCAAGAGGAAACACAACATCCACAAAACATGAAATTTTATACATGCAGGAAGAAGTAGGGCAAAGCAGTATAAACAGGCCTTTCTTTTTTTTCAAAGTATAGCTCCACTGATGTGTTATGTCTGCTAAATATGGTCATTCTTAAGTGCAGACTCTCTTGGCCCACTGCCGCCAATATGCTCTGATCCTGCTCAAGGTTAATGATCACCCTGTTATGCAACTGCAACCTAAAGCACTGGTACTCTACATTTGAGCAGATGCACAGCACCCCACTGCCTCTCTATTAAAAGAGGAATCCATTTCATGTTTCTTTTGCCAGAATTTGACTGCGGCACTGCGAGCCAGAGCAAGGCCGTATTTTTGTATTTTAAGTATATCCTGAAGCAAATCTTACAAGAGCTCAAGATCTGACTTAGTAGCTTTATCTGGAAGAGTAAATCATGTTTCTACAAATGTAGTAAAAAAAGAGCAAACATAGCTTTTCAAAAACAAATTATCTGTGTTTCAAAATCCTAATCTAAATACTTTTTTTTTAATGAAAGAAGTCAAAGATTCTTAACTATTTCTAAACACTATAATCAACAGTACTTCTTTAACAAAACAAGAAAGATCCAAATAAATTCTTCTGCTTACCACAAACAGATAACAAATTAACTTATAAAGATCGTTTTCAGCTTCTGCCTCTGCATAATGCTCATAAAATAGTACTTGTGACAGGAGAAACTGCAACTCTCATCACAAGCATGGCTGATTTTTTTTATGTACAGTATTTAAATTGCACTGACTAGACCTTCAGCAAAACACATCCAAGGTCTGTTTGATTTGTCTCTGTGGGCTTAAAATACTTGCTCCAGGTTAGTTCCTTACACTTGTATATAATGCATTACTGCTTGGGTTGGTAGCTGTTGAAAAGACAAATTACAGCCACTTGAAGAAAGATGCTTTTTAAAAAAACAACAATAAAAAAGCACTTGTATTGCTGCCATGCAAGATAGATGCTGCTTCATAACTAATATTAAATACCTAAAAGAAGAAAAAATACTAAATCCAGTTTGTTTTACCTGTCGTATTTTAAGATTCGTCTCCCCATCAAGATTAGCTGTTTCAATATAGCACATGGCTTGTGGTTCACTGTAAGGAGTGTAAGATTTTCAATATTAAAAACTTTTTTGTACACCACTTTTGCACTAATATAGTCCACAACAGACTTCTTCAATGAACTGCAGAAGACAGAAAACCATACTGGTGATATACAACCACGAAAGCAGAAAGTACATATTTAACAGAGACTATTTTGGATATGGTCATACAACAAACTGCAGAGGAAGACAAGTCTAAATCAGAGACTAGTAAGAATTAAACAAGTCATGATAAACTTAGATGCCTGGAGTGGATTATTTTTAATTGCAATCCATGATGGATGAATTAGCAAGTATTGAACAGTATAAAAAGGGGATATGTTTGCATGAAGACACTAATGCTCTCTGCTATTCCATTCTGTCTGTGAACTGAACACACAAAATCACATCTTCAAGGTCACTTTAAAGTGGAGAGCCTATGGGAAGTACATCCAAAGTCACTGCTAAACAGCTTTTCTTTTTGAGCATGGGAAAAAGTTTCATTAGCATTGAGGGCTGTAACCTGCATCTTCCAGATATGTTTCTGCCCTTACCAATAGGGATAAAAAAACGCTCCTCCTAGAACTGAATTTTCTATTAGTCAAGTTCTTATCTACATCTAACGGAGGAGCTCTGCACAGGTAGCACCTGTGATAAGGAAGGGTATTTTTACCCAATCTTCTCCCGACATACAACTCAAAAACCTTTGTTATGGCACCACCAAAACTGTTTTTCTGCCAACTATCTTCTCAAGCTGCTAAGGAATATCAGTTTCCTATCTGGATTCAAGCAAGTGCTTCTTCAGCATATCACTTCTCACATTCTTGATAAATGACTAGTTTTTTCCCAGAATAACCAAATGCTCTAACAGCAAATGTACTCAATCAACAGAACAGCCAGTAATAAAGGCTCCTTAGGACAACAATAATTAAGAAATGGACAGGTACATTTATAACACAGTAAGAAGCCAGAATAGTCTAATTCATTTTGCTTTGAAAAGGAAAAAAAGGTTGAGTCTATTCTTTGTGTCCTCCTACACAGGCGATTTGAATCTGAATCCAAGAAAGACACTGATTAGAGTCCAGTTTGATTCCAATTTTACCTCTGTCAAACATCTTATCTACACAGTGTTTGACAATAGAATTCCTCTAACTTCCACAGAAATGGTATGAACCGTGGAAATGAGAAATGTGGACGTTTCCAAAGTTGTGTTTGAATTAAAATATTTTTTCTTCATGTTAATTCATTCTTTATGTAAAATTTGATGTCACCTTTTCGCTGTACAGACCGAGAGTCAAGATAAAAACAACTGTCGATTTTATCTCTGACAATCACCTCAGACACAGAAAATCAACATATAGAAGCAAAAGAACCCACCCCCTTCAGAACATGCAAGGCTTTCTGGTGAACTGAGGACACTTAGTATTGACATTTAAAGGAATCATGGGAATAATACCAATTATAAAGCAGAACTGCCATAGAAATTGCTATTTATTTCAAGCAAAGCTTCTCCCACATCAACATGGTCTGGGTTAAATTGTCTAATTATTATGTGGTTATCAGTGACAGCAGGTTAGTAGAATAGTGTAGAACAACAAGCTGGCCCACACAGTTAAGAAATAAGTCAGAAGGGGTTTTTAGCATAACATATTAGAGAAGCTCTTCAGTAAAATATTCTTCAATGCTGAAACAGAACATTATTGATGTCCAAGTTCAGCATAACTGCATATTAAGTTGACAACAGCTTATTTAAGGTTTGGGGCTTGTTTTAAAAAATACAATACTGCATACCATGGAATGAAAGTACCTCTATCCTTCATCATGTGGTAATTCATAATGACTGAACTTCTGCAAACAGCTAAGAAAAAATTGAAACCTCCCAGAAACAGCACAGACAAGAAGGATGGAGCAGAAAATACATGGGCTTGAAAAACAAGTTTGCTTACAAGTTGGATCCTGTAAGAGAACTGCAACCTAGAGACCAGAGCAATCTGCAGTCACCATTGAGAAGTACACACAGGAGAGAATTATGGAGGTGTTGCAAGGTTTGCCTATTAGAAGCATGCTTAACAACAGGAGCTGTGCTGTTGTCTCTTGTTAAAACCTCATCTGTCTAAGCAAACTGTGGTCTTAGTTCAGCCTCAAGTTGTTCCTTATGATCTAGAACCTAGACTAGGAGTCAAGTACCACTCAAATGCTTTTAGGAACTACAAGACCTCAACAATTCAGAGGGTTGGGCAACCACCAACCATATGAAGTTTAACAAAGTCAAGTGCTGGATTCTGAACCTGAGGTGAGCCAACCCTGGATGTGTGTACAGACTGGAGAATGGGATGAGGGAGAGTAGTCCCACAAAAAGGGATCAGGGGGTCCTGGTTGATGGCAAGTTCAACATGAGTCAGCAGCCAGGTATATCCTGGGGGAGGCATCAGGAAGTTGTCCCATATTTGAAACTAAACCAAGCAGGACTCAACAGGTTTACTGTTGCTATCATGCTAGAGATGGGCCATACATGTGCAATATCCAAGAGAAATAGTCGACAAATGAAGTCCAAAAGCTTTTGTTGTTTGATGCCACTAGAGCTAGCCTTTCAGATTTACAATTTGAATGAAATCTTCCTCAGGGAGTACAGGAAAATATGCTGAATACTCAGTGGAATGAATTGGAAGAAAACATAAGCTTGATTATTTAAGTGGAGAGATTCTTGGAAGGCCATAGAACCACAGACTGCACAAAGCTCATGTTAAGGACCTTCAGTCTTCCAACAAACTCATCAATACAGAGTATTATATACTTGCAATTCATAAAGTCTTAAAAATGCCTCATTTCAGAAGGGCCTATCTACAATGATACATGAAGTAAAGTCTAGTAAAGCCATGTTTTGTCATGGTTGAAATTTGATTTTAGATGTGGAATAGAATTAGTGCTATCTGATGTCTGGTTTTATTAATAGCAAATACAGAGATTCAAGTCCTCTGCACCTCAGTTCATCAGACACATCACTTCCACACCCATTCAGGATACCTGGTAGATATTATGATCATGTCTGCTGGAAGATGTTGCCCATTGGTGACCTTCACAATATCTCCTACTGCTACCTGTGGTGGTCAGGAGTACAGTAGCATGGAAGAGAAAAACAAACAGTTCGCTTGTCTGGAATGTTAGTTTGTTATTTTCTTTCACTCAGAAGAACAGCATCATGCACAGAACAGCTAGAGACAGTGTTTCTGAAAGAGTACTTTTCACTGCAAGTTCGGAAATATCAAAGCCTTCCCTTTTCTGAATGTAAAGTAAACAATTGTATAGAGAAAAAAGGTAAATCTACTCAACTGGAAATTGTGAGTTTCTGTGGCCTATATTTAATAAAAATTACTTTTTTCTAGAATTCTGCCATTATCCAGATTCGGGGGTTTTCTTTAGTCTTATTATTTTCCCTAGTAAAAATGTTACCTTTAAACTTCAAACTTCATTAAGTATCAAAAGTTTTCTTCTACTCCTTATCTGTACTGCTTACCTACCCATTCATCACTATCATTTTCCCTTAATTCTCCTTAGATGCACTGCTTGTACTAGTCACTAGCAAATAGTACCATCTCTATGAATCCATACTATAATCCTGTCCTTCCCTGAGATATGCAGAGTTCTGAATTCTGGAATACTTTGTCTCCTCCTACACAGGCCTAAGACTTTCTAGCACCTTGAGTTAGTCACACATGCATAGGACTTTCATTCTAAAAAGAGTCAAGTACCACTCTCAAAACAGTAAACCAAGTTTGCCCAATAAGCATGAGGCTGCTTGACACCAATGCACCACTGAGAGTCTGAAACAGGCTTAAAATACTTTTAAGATATTCATTTATAAAAATGGAAACAGATGGTATGTTTGAACAAGCAGATTCATTAGTTTTACTCAGATACCACTAAAAATAAATTCCCTACCAGTTTCAGCACAAAAGAAAAAAAAAGATGCCAAAAGATTGCCTTAAAGTGATCAAGGTAGCTAATACCTGTTATTCCTTAAAAATAAATGCAAGCCTGGATAACATGCAGTTACAGACACGTTGATTCAAGAAGTGCCTAAGGGTATAAAAGACCCAGATTCCAGGCTTGACCTTAATCTTTCAATTCACTGTCCTTTCTACAAAAATAGGACTTGAAAAAGCATAAGCAGGAACCAACATCAGCCATCAGAATGCCTGACAATCTTCAGCTTCTACTATAGCCTAACACTTCAGCAAGATTGCTTTTAGGTACCTTGAGACTGATCTCATTCCTCAGAGGTTTTAAAAGGGTCTAGTTTTTCCTCAATTACTATCTAAGAGGGCTAATTTTATCCTTTAAAAGGCACTAAGAGCCACAACAAGATCGATACATCCTAAAGCATTTCAGCAACTTCCAGGTCTTGGAAATAAAGCTCGCCAGACCCTGGCCAAGGGCTCCACAGAACATGGGTCCCAAGTGCCTCAGGGAGCAGCAGGGCTTGTGTTTCTTACTTGAGCAAGCAGCTTACTAATTAGTCTCAAAGCCCAGGGACGTTTTAGCACAGGCAGCAAAGTAAGTCTGTTAGACTTGCAGGGGACATACAGCATTGCAGTGAAAATTACTCTTCTAGCTAGACTAAAAACAGAATACTGTTTAGTTTACCTATTAACTACACAAGGAAAACCACAACAGTTCATTAGCATTCGATGGTAACACAGTATTTACAAATGGATACTCAGGTGCGTTGCTCAGGGCAATTTTGATAACTGGAACAGAAAGGATCTCTCCCACCTCCCTCACCCCAGACTTCTCACATAGTATACATTAATTCTAAGCCACCTAATTAATTCTGGCAAAAGTAATTATTGAATACTTTATTTCCCTCCCTCCCATCCTCAGGTTTTATTTACCTCTTTCCACATAATGTTCTGCCACATCCCATTTCTTAGAACTGGAAAGAAAGCTTAGAGTTAGATTACAGAATAAATAGCCATAATTCAGACAAATTTCAAAACAACTGTATCAGCAATAGTAAACACAATAGGAACCACAAAAGGAACTTTTTGTTCACAGCTGTGAGGATATAAATCCAAGACAGAGAAGAATCTGCCCTTCGTATGTATATAATTTTTGTCACCTGCCAGACAACAGTTGGTGGCCTGATTTCTTCAAGGCATCACATCATACTAACATGCAGATAGGAAGCATTGTTTCTTGTTTGGGAAATGACCTTCCTTAAAACAAGAGGCATTACTGCCCATTGTCAATCAGTATCAGGAAGCACCTTAACTCTGTGTATGATTTACCACAGAATTTTCACTTACTCCTTTTTTTGCATTTTATTAATAATATTTTGACTCTGGCACATCCAACTTCACTACCATTACCTATGGCCCATATAAATCTGAGTCTTAATTGCCAAGCAGGCTCAAAGCCCTACTGAAAAGCAACAATTGGCCTTGGCAGAAAGGGAATCCTTACTGCTGAAGTTCACATTGAAACAAGAAAAAGAGAACAAGGTACTAAAACAGACCTTGGTTTCTGTAGGGCTCCAGTTCTACACTGCTATCTTAATACATTCATTAGCCATTTACCCTGCAGCATACCTTTCCACACAAGCACCTCCTCTAGGTCGTTCTACACATACTTAATACTACTCCAGCCAAAACAGTAAGCTCAAATATGCCCAGTTACTGCAGAGGACCCAGTCCAATCTAGATCTGAGCACAGCACTTCACCTTCACTGAAAGCAGCTGCAGCCAGTTTTTGAAGGTGTTCAAAAAGCACAGTGTGCAACAGATCAAAGTTGAAGAGGTCAGTCCCCTAGTTTGAATATGAATAATCTTCTCAGATCTATGCATTTCATACACGTGGCTCATTTGAAAACAATACCACACTCCGTAAGAAAATTCTGCTGAACACAGTTTTGACCATTCTACTCAGGATAGGTCACATCTCAAACAGGAATGCAAGACTTGTCAGAATAGATCAAGCAGAAGAAACCCATCTCTTGACTCTTGTTCTGAAGCACTGAATCCTGATATTTAAAATTGTAGTGAATGGACTGCAGTGAACTAAATATTTAACCAAAAAAATGGGTGGGCAGCAAAAGAAGTACTGCCAGTGATGTGTCTAAAAATAGCTGAGCTTTCAGCCAAACAACTACAGCAGTTTAGGTGCACCTCTTCAATCCCTCATACACACCATTCTTGAATTGAGCTCTGCTTAGTTCAGAACTCAGACAAAGGCCTGTAGCCAGAATCTCAAGGGAAAAGTCAAATACTTGTGGCTTTAACTCAAAACGCAAACATTCAAAGAGGAGTTGCAACACTCAGCATCTCCTGCGCCATGGTTTAGATGGCTCCCTATCCCGCCAGGAAGTTTTGGAGACGTTTCAGAAAACATTCTGTTGATGTATGCTCACATACAAAGGTATTTTGCAGCTTCAAATGCTATAGACTTGGTCTAGTGGGCAATTTACTTCAGAAAACAATTTCACTTGCAATGCTTACTGAAATCAATTTAGTGATTAAAATTAAATAGCCAAGCAAGTTATTGAAGCTATTTTCTTACTGTTCTGTTACTGAACTATTCCCTTTTAAACTCATAATCCCACAGTCTAAAGAGGAAGCTTCCATTAGACATGGAACACTTCAGAAATTTTGGGGTTGCAATTTCACACCTCCTACTCTACTTAACCCAGTTTCATAGGAGTACTCCAAAGGACAGAAAAGGACATGCCTTCTCTAGAACATTTATAGTAGGGTAAAATTGATGAATTATGCGTTGTCAAAAGGTATTTGGTTAAACTAACAAAGGACAAGTACCTAAAAAGACTGCTTCAACTCAAAAAGAGGGTTTCAATATAAACCTTGTATCTAAGCTTTCCAAGTCCAAAACCCAGTTCCACATCTAAGACTTAATGCTGTGACTCACATCCAGTCACGCAGGGCTATTTGAAGTGAGGCTCCTGAAGGACAAGCATCTCTCATCAGTCTTGTTCCAGGGTTTGCCAGCCCGTGCTTATCTAATATTTGAGTTCATCCCATGCAATATTAAATGCTCATTGCTTATTCTATTATTTGACAATGGGAGGATCAATACATCAGAACAGTTATTACTGAGCTCTCTTTATCTATGCAATATGCTGCTCAGGGGCTTCACTTGCAATTATGTGGAGTCTGGTGCCTAGATTTAATGTCATCGCCACAGACATCATGTGAAGCCAACCAAGACATAAAACACTGGCTCAGAGCCTAAACACACTCCAGCTCCTAATGCAAATATTCAGTGCTCACATGGGACAGAACCTCAATTTTCATTTGCTCCAAAGGGAATTTAATTCCTACATACCAAAACCACTCTACAAAGCAAACTGATGTTTTCTATGGTAAATTTAATATAGGAAAGGCACTATGATGATACACTACTGCTCTAAAAAAACTAAACAAGATAAATGTAAAGCCTACATGACTGCTGCTGCAGTAAGCAACCAGCCATTGTAGGCAGTGTAGTTCAGGACATAGCCAAGCAGACAGCAGGCATCTGCTTCTCAGTGAGCTCAAATGCTCTCCACATTGAATGCACTGATTAGACACCACTCAGCTATAAGAGCAACCTAAAGGCACACAGAGAACCTAGATTTATTTCGTCTTAATCCTACTCTGAATCTAAATTCTCTTTTCATTTTGGTAATACATGTCTCAAGAATAAGCCTCTTGAGCTTTTCACTTAAGTAGGGGGACACAGTTTTCAGTATCAGATGGAAAATGTATTTTGAATATTCAAACGTAAAAAATTAAACCTGAACTCAAATAATTTTTCAAGTGCTAAGTTCCACTTAGCTTCAATAGAACACTTTGTGTTCTTTAAGGTTGTCTCTCCACAATTACTGTGACAAACGTCCCTTGACATGTTTGTTGGCACACGTTCTCTACCTACAAATGAATTATAACTGCCTGTGCGACCTCTGAAAGGGCCATCTTTCATATTACCTATAACAAGGCCTGTTGTGCTACAGCCACTTAATTGCCAATTGCTTATGACTAACACAGTGTTCTTGAACTCAAAACATCTTCCCAGCCTCTCGTAGAGACATTACCCAGGAGAACTGATAAAGCAATGCCTTTTGATGTGTATTAATATACAACCTTAATGACCACTCCAAATTTTCATGCACCAAACTCAGTGAAAAAAACAAGCATAATATTTGTAGGACTACATGAAGCACAGAGCTGGCAGGTTGCTCACTGCCCCATGTTCCTTTAAGTGCTCCTCTAGCTTTTTGACACTTCACGAATTTGTGCTTGGGAGGAAGGGGCTCCACTCAGCGCCCAAGTCCCTGTGTTCCCATTTCACCTGCACATTTGCACAAAGGAGCAGAAGTGGAGTGCAACATGGGAACAGGGAGCTGTCGTGACTACAGCACAGGACAATCACAGGGTGGCCACTGACAAGCTCTTCTATTTTCTGCACAGGTTTTCAGTTAAGGGAGGTGAAGAAAATGACAGCAATATCTTCAGGCATACAGTGACAAGTACTGTCCATACCTTAGGGATACATGTAGGCATTCAGTGTTAAATTCTCGTTCAGTGACACTTCAGGAAAGCCAAGCTAAAAAATCCCCAGACTCATATTTAAAGGGCAGCAGCATTTACCAAAATTACTTTAAATTCTTCTGACAGCAACTTTTAACATTTCAGGGGGTTGTTGGGTTTTTTAGTTCCGGATGTTTTGGTGTTGGGTTTGATGTTAGAATAATCAGGATGGAGTTTGGTAGGGAAAAAACTGCTTGGTTTTCCTGGAGGAGCTGAGAACTACCTAATTTTGGACAACCTTGAAATTACATGAATTTATAAATTCTAATAATCCTCCTAATGCCTCACTCTTAAGTGTCAGACCATCAATTATCAGTCTGAATCCTTTGGCAAAGTAAAATCCTAAACTACAGGTAAGTACCTAGTGCACAAGATCTGCATTCCTCACTGTCTTGACAGTTAAAGCAATAGAATTGTTCAAAAGTAAGCATCCACAATTTGCATTTTAAATACTTACAGACTGTTAAGTCTTACCTACTGTTTTCTTTTTATTCACTGCACTGTCTGCCTTATGCCTTTTCTGCAAGAAAACAAAACATTTCATTACACCTCATTACACTTCATCACAAATTCATAACCATTAAAGCTAAAAATAGATAAACTGCAAAATGATACACTTGGTCCTTTTCGCCTTTATGGGTTTTTTTAAAAAGACACAGATCATCTAAATCCAAATGGTTTGTAAAAGAGTATAAGGAGTAGGATTATAAACATCAAAGTCCTCATGTTGGAAGTCAGCCTGAACCCTTTTTCAGTGGTTAAAAAAAAAAGTCTCCAAAGCCGGGTTTTTAGAAGAAAAATAAAAGGAACAATAAGGACCACAATATTTAAATGGTAGATGTACTTTCAATTCCAAGTGCTGTTGTTTAGACTGATAGCCAAATTATTTCACTCATCAGTACTTTGCAAAGCAGAAAGACCTAATTCAGATGTTAAGTATACAAGCAAGTTAGGGCAGATTTTCCCCAAAACAGTCTTCTCTGTCCTTAAGTTGCCTGCCTCCCCCTAGCCCTCATTTTCAAGACCATCTAAAAAGGCCACATATTTGACAGGACTTGACAAGGTCTTTCTAATAAAAGCATTAATAAACAAGTTTGAAGAGAGAAAAATGTCCTGACTTCTACTGTTTTCTTGTTCATCAACTAAAATGAAAATACTTATTTATTTTAGTGTGTTACAGAAATTCTAGTCAAGCACTTTGAAAGTCAAAACAATATTTTGCTGCTGTTGAGTAATGACTCAAGAGACTTCAGGGATGCATGGTTTTATGGTACTTTATAGCTTTTTTTTTTGAGACATTTGGTCTTTAGCACAGACTTGCCCATAGTCATACTCACATAGTCTTCTATGATTTCTTTGATGCCAGCAACTGTTAAAATAAATAGCAATGGCACCAAGGTGGTATATCTTCCTGTTGGAGAGACATCTGGAATTTGCTGTGAACAGACAGAAAAGCAATCTGTTTTATATTTGTATTTAAAATAAATTTCTAGTACATTTAGAATTTTATGCAAAGATCTGAGAAGACAGAATACAAAGTCCTGATTTACTGTGTGATTTGTGCCTGAAAGATATCTAATTTCAGTGGGCAAACTAGCCTACAGTCTAGGTAGGTTTGAAGAAACAATAACCAAGTTAGAAGATGTTGTTGTACATGCCTTTTATTCTATTTCTTCTCTTTACAAGAAAATTTTACAAATTATATAATTCACATGGAAGCAGTGGTAGTCTAGACTAACAAAGCAGAAGTTTCACAAGAAATTCACACATTCTTTCCTCACAATGGTCAATAGCTCCATGTTTTATGACATCATTTAAGAATAAAAGAGGCTTGAATTTACAAACTACATTGAAAAACGTCTCTAAGTTCTCTTCCAATTTCAAATAGCAACTACACACCCCATCAATATTATTAGTAAAGTAAGTTTAAGAATGGCTTTGCTATTAGGTATATCAACAGAAATAACTTTTACTGCATCACCATTTCATTTTATAAACAAGGCAAAGCAATGAAACAATACCTGCAGTAAGGCAATGAAGAGGAAGAATGCATTTGCAGCTTTTCTAATCTGCTCATACAGGAATCGAGGTAGAAATGTCACCACGCTGTACTTGGCTGTGCTGCAGGGTAGAAGATTTTCATCTTAGTACTTCATCAAAATATCAGGTGGGGAATCATGACCAGAAAGTCTAAAAGCCAGTGTTAGAACGTAGTTCAAAAATAACAAAGTAAAGAATTATTTAGAATATGGAGGAAGAAGTTGCTTTGGTTATGGAAAGGAGCTGTACCAAACAAAAGAGATATCACACAGACTCAGAAGAGGCTGTCAGACCCACTTCTATCACTGATACCTTTGTTATTGGATGAACTATCAGACAATTTACCATCCATCCAAACTTCAGCAGTGTGAAGGGGCAAGCTTGCATTTCAGTTCCAAGCACTTGATCAGGGGCTTATTGCTCATCAAAATACAGAAGGTAAATGTTGGGGAAGGCAGAGTTGAATGAGAGAAATTAGAAATTTTGCCACACCTTGTTAAATTGCCTCATCTCCTACATCAGAAAGACTTAGATTCAGCTATGAATAATCCTTTAGAACAATACACACTTTTTCAGATTAATGTTTTTTGCTTCTTTCCTATTTTTTATATATACATAAATATTGCAACTCACACATATGTAACTGAATTATAAGTATTTCTTTTGCCTTAAAACAAAAACATACTGAGCTAACTAGTCTTAATCACTGACATGATAATTTAACTATTAGCATAGAACCTTCACCTACTGAACTACTAGCCACCAGCATGAGTTGGGGTTTAACAAGTGAGCACCTGCAGCTCAGTATGCCTTGCAAAGGCACAACAAGCAATTACAGGAATTTTGAGGCATCATTTTGTTTGGATGCTATGGTTTTGGTTTCATTTCAGGTTTTTTTTGTTTGTGCTTTGTTCCAGTTTGGGTTGTTTGTTGGTTTTTTTTTTAAGAAGTCTTGTATTTCCAAGGAACTGAGAACACTAAGACACCTGGCTTTGAAGAAAAAAAGAAACAGTTTCCCAATTCCTGTTTGACGGATGCTTCCTAGCAGTGCCAAGACCACTTCTCCATTAAGTCTAGTCCTCTTTCTCCCACCAAAAAGCCTTCCAGATCAACTGAAACACACAGCATTGCTGTTCAGAAATCATAAAGGAAGAGGATAATCAAATGCTTTAGCTCCATGATCTGCCTTTCACAACAGGCTGCTGCTATGCATCAAACGCTTCCCACCTTGATCCACAAGCAGCTGAGTTCAGTGGGATTCTCTTACCTCTGCATGGACAATGGTTAGAGAACTACATTTCCCAGCTTATTGCTTTAACCACCTTCTTTTCCTTCTTACCTGCCTCATCCCCAACTCCAAGCCATCTAACCAGTCACTACTGTGTCTTTCAAAATCAAACAGTAACTAGATGGAACAAGGCACAGTTTGTTATAAAAGGCTCTATTTTGAACGCTAAAGAAGAATTAGTAGGGCTGGTTAAAAAAAGACCAATTAAAAACCAATTAAGATGCATCTTATCTTGGGAACTTGCCTTGTTTCCTCTTCAAGCAACCACAAATCCCTTTCTATTGCTACTACTGCTCACCAGAATGAAGTATTTAAATACTCAACATAATATTTTACAGAAATTTCAAGCTGGACTTCATCATGGCTTGTATCTACTAAGCCAAATGAGTGAAATCATACATCCAGGTTTAAAGCAAGTCCAGCTCTTACATAAATTAGAGTTACTTACTTCAACTGCTGTTCATTCCTTCCAGTTCTAAGTATTTTTTTTTGTTTTAAGCCACATTTGCTTGGTCTCATGTGTAATAACCTTCCTTTAATACAGAATATAATTAAACACAAATCTCAGAATTACCTTGTGACTTAAAAAGATAGGTTAATCAAGTTCAGAGGTTAGACTCAGAAGCAAACTCTCCAAGCAGTACTAATTAGACATCAAGCAATGACAGATTTCATATCAGAATAGTATTCCTTTAGGTATCACATTGCTATGATTATAAGAACACAAGAATTTGACTGCAACCAAGCTGAAACATTTATTAACATCATTCTACCACCTACCAACTTCACAGCTAGCTGGCTCAAACATGATTCTTACTCTAACAATTATGTTAATGCCAACACAATAAGGCTCTTTTCAAAGAGGTTTGTACATACTAAGTCACTCCATGCATTCTGTTGCTTAAGTAACTTGACAGATGCCCACAGAAAATGGGTACAGCTCTAATTAGAGGCAGACACAGTCAGCTGTTACCACACAGGCCAGGAACAGCAACCACAAGTATGAATAAAAAGCAGATAGGTGTTATTATTCAAAAAGAAAACTTATTAAAAAAAAAAAACAACTAACTAGCAGTCTGAGCTGGACAGGAGCACTCAATTGATTAGGCTCTGAAGAACAGTTATTTAAATGATAAGCACAATACTTATTTTTAAATAACAGAAAAAACTCTTGTGCTCCCTCCCAACAGATATATATATTATGTGTTACAACTTCAGGATGATCAAAGTTCAGGAAAATTAAAATCTACAGATGAACAGGTAGAAACTTTAGTCAGCTCACTCATAACACATTTTGGGTCACTAAAAATAAATAACTGGCAGGTTAGCTCTCTGACCAGCCCCAGTCACAGCCACGTTAACTCCCAGAATATGAGGTCTGCAGCTCACAGAACAGGTTCAGGCAGGTAGAGGAGAGAAGCACAAGGGGGAAAACAAACAAGAAACCGGATTCTCCTAAAGCAACAGCTACTAGTTATGCAAATCTTGTTTAACTATACAAGTTTATATGTATAACAGGTGTGCAAACATTAGAAGAGATGTCTCCTCTACACCTGCAAGTTAATTCACCTAAGTTATTTTTCAAGCTACACCACAGTGCAAGTCAGGAGGAACAGTACCAAACTCTGTTAAACAAATGAATTTGGATACACCTGACTATAGCTGGCTCTGGCCCCACTGTTTCTAGGGCAGTGCAGAGATGTTTTTGAAAGCAATTACTGTATAATTTGCCAAAGGTTAGTGTCATTCACATACTTTAACTCATTACCATATTACTAAAGTACAAAGGATTACCTAGTAATTTTAATAGCAGCCAAATGAAAAGGAGCAAACAGTTCACTGAGAAACTCAGTAGCGGTTCTCCAGTATACTTCCTCTCTATTTATTCATAGGTAACTTTTGCACAACCACTCTCATTGTTGCCTTTTCCCTATTTCCCAAAAACATTTCAGGAAGTCAGGTTTTACTTTACTGACTAATCATTGAAGAGGCAAAGGCTGTCAGCAACAGCAGCAGAGCAGTTATTTCCTTGAGACACGTATGTGCTGGCAATATGCAGCTGAACACAGTCTGCACTTTTCCAGTCAGTCATCTAAAGCACTTCCACCCCTTCCTTTAGAATGGCATCTCTGAAATGAACTTCAGGATAATCACGATTAAGCAAACAGGACCTCCTTGAGATACATGGGGTCCCATTTTCAGGGGTCACAAGTACAATGAACTGTCCTTTCCTAGACAGCATTCACACAAATCTAGTCATGCCATGGTTCACATACCTCAAATACTCTCCAAGAGCTGAGGAATGAGTACCACTCTATGTCGGTGCTTTTAACACACATCAATTTGCAGGAACAATTACTATGAAAGCTAGGAACAGACACCTGAACCACAGCAAAAGGGCTGGGTAATTAAAGTGAATGTTACAGACTTGAACTCCTCTCTCACCAAACAGGCTTTGTGTCCATCAACATGTACAACAGGTCAGATGCCCAGTAACAGAGAAGGAAAAAAAAAACCCAGAAAACCCAAGAACATCTGCTTGACTGAAGAGCTCAAATACTGTCTCTGGTGGAATGGTGTTTGCATGCTAAGGTCCTGCCAGGCACACAACACTCAATAGCAGGTCTGACATCAGCATCTGAGATTCTGCTAAAGCTCTCAAGCACAGAGGTAGTATGACAAGCTACCTCCAGGCAGTCACCATTGCAGCAGGAGGCACAGCAGGCAAGCCTTACATATTTCAAGAGATATTAACAGAAAAAACAACATTCAGTTATTACATTGAGTACAGAGAACGCCCATTTATAGCAACATCTCATCAAGCTGCTGCCATGTAGAATACTGAGGAGGTTGTTCTAAACCCAAATGTCATGATCAAGGTTCTCAGCAGTGCCATGCATATGACAGTGAAAGGTCATCTACCTCCTTGCACAGAGGGAAGATGGTGTATTTTCTTGAAACTTACTAAAGAGACAAAAATCCACTGTTTACAAGTTCCCAAAAATCACATCAGGAGGGCTTATAAGAAGCAATTATTTATATGCCTATTATATTACTGGCTGACTGAAAATTAGATCCTAAATACCCATTTCTGGTTTTATAACAGGAAGCCTGAACAAATGCAGCCCCTAATTCAAGGGCAGAACACAGGAGCATGAAAGGAGCAAGACTTGCTCTTGCGTAGTAAAAAGTGCAACAACTTGAACACTGCAAGGTATTATTGCTTAAAGCTTGCCAGAGCAAGACATAAAAACAAGAGTGACCACAATATATGTCACCCAGCTCTGGAACAAGCACTGTCCACAGTCAAGCACCTATTTTGTTTCCATCTTTCCCTGCACTCTGCTACAGTTTCTCCATAATACCAAAGATATTTTATATATACAAGTTCATACATTTTCCAAAGAGGAAATGGGTTGAAGGAACATTCTTCTACTTAGTCACTGAAACATCAAACCCTGAAAGATTCCCCAACAAAGCCAAGCAAAACTGTAGAAGATCAACCTGTTGTCTGAAATTATCCACACAGACAATGAAACTGATTGGGAGTATTTAAATGCATTAGAATTTATCAATTTTTACTTTGACTGAAAACAATTCTAGCAGCTTCCAGCTGAAGAAAACTTATCAGTGGGATAATACTCATCTCAAGCACCTCATCACTTTCCTACATTTCTTATTTCTTCATTTATAGTATGGGCTCCCACCAGAGGCATCTCAAGGCACCAGTTAGGGAAACTTGTTCTTCTCTTTTGTTACAGGTAGAACTGATCACATTTTGGAATCCCTGAGC